GGGCGGGGCAGCTCTGGCCCCATCCCGCCTACGGCTCTGGCGAAATGGCTCCACTGCAAGTCGCCAGGCGGCTTTCCTGGGCACGGGGGCCTGTGACCCTGGCAGCCAACGGAGCAACGGGGAGAGGACCCCTGCAGCTAACCAGAGAGACCCGGATGGGGACGTGGGGCTGGGAGCGGGCCCAAGTCTGCAGGGCCTCAGCCACACCTGTCCCAATGGCCTGAACCGAGAGCCGACCAACCTGGCGCTTTCGTGGAACCCTCCGAACACGACCAGCTGCCTCCTGCACACCACCATGCGATGCCCGCTGCGGCCGGAAGGACCACCGGTGGCCCTGAAAGAGAGGAAAGCGCACTGAGCTGTGACAGAGTCACGGTCCACCTCTGACCACTGCCTCCTCTGGGCAATTTTGGAAGCAGATGACCCTCCTACGTGTCGCCGGGACAGCCTCCCTGCCTGCCTATCTGTTCGGCCCTCCTTTTTTGTAGAAGAAGAGATTGGATTAATGCCCCGATCTCCCTTCCCTCCCCCTCCCCACAACAGACACCCTGTGAGCAATGTTCCCTCTAAACTGTGGGGTCCTGTGAGCAGAGATTCTACTTTGTGAGCTACCGGCATTCAAGTTGTGAGCCAGCATTTGGCTACTGCAGAAATTAGTTTGCTCTGGAGCCATCCTTCCTGAGCTGAGACAAAAATGTGTGAGCCGGAGGCTAAAAAACTGTAAGCTAGCTCACACTAACTCAGTTTAGAGGGAACACTGCCTGTGAGGTAGGTGGGGCTGAGAGGAGAGGAGGAGGAAGAGAGATTGTATTTATACCCCGCCCTTCACTTGGAGTCTCAGAGCGGCTAACCAACTCCTTTCCCTTCCCCTCCCCACAACAGACACCCTGAGAGGCAGGTGGGGCTGAGAGGAGAGGAGGAGGAAGAGAGATTGTATTTACACCCCGCCCTTCACTTGGAGTCTCAGAGCGGCTAACCAACTCCTTTCCCTTCCCCTCCCCACAACAGACACCCTGAGAGGCAGGTGGGGCTGAGAGAACTCTGACAGAAACTGCTCTTTCAAGGACTATGGCTTGCCCAAGGTCATCCAGCAGCTGCAAGTGGAGTGGGGAATCAAACCCGGTTCTCCCAGATTAGAGTCCGTGCTCCTAGCCGCTACAGCAAACTGGCTCTCAGTTTGTAGGCACCGAGCTTGCCTTCGCGGCAGGAAAACTGCTTTCCCCTCCCTCCTAGGTCTGTTTTATTTATCTGAAACAAAACGCATCTCCGCCCCCTCCTTGGGAAGAGCTCCAACATCTGTGCTGTGGGGGTGGAGGCCTTCCTTTGTTCTAATGCTATCCTGACAGAGTGTGTGTGTGTGGGGGGGGAATCGACTTTCTGCTACTCCCTCCCGGTGGCATTTTGATTGCAGGGGGGGAAGCGAAGAGAGGGGGAAGGCCAGGCAAACGCGATGCACTAGGCGATGCACTAGGCAACCGTTAGAGGAGGCGCAGGGCGGACGCTTGGCAGGCACGCACCTCCGCGATCCGTTGCCAGTGTCACCCATGCAAAAGATCTCAGGTGCCAGGAAGAACGTGGCCCCGCCCGAGACCAACGGAGAGACCCTGCTGGCCTAGGAGGGGGATCGATTGGGTGACTCGGAGGAAAGTTAACTAGACTCTCACAGTCAGGGGAAGGCAGGTACATGAACACACCATGCTGCCTTGTACGGAATCAGACCAAAAGTCCATCAAGGTCAGTATTGTCTGCTCAGATGGGCAGCGACTCTCCAGGGTCTCAGGCGGAGGTCTTCCCCATCACCTCCTGCCTGGTCCTTTTTAACTGGAGATGCTGCAGACTGAACCTGGGGGCTTCTACATGCCAAGCAGAGGCTCTGCCACTGAGCCACAGCCCCACTTTGCAGCTCTCCAGGGTCTCAGGTGGAGGTCTTTCCCATCACCTCCTGCCTGGTCCTTTTTAAGTGGAGGTGCCGGGGATTGAACCTGGGACCTTCTGCATGCCAAGCAGAGGCTCTTCCACTGAGCCACAGCCCCTCTTTACAGCTCTCCGGGGTCTCAGGCAGAGGTCTTTCCCATCACCTGCTGCCTGGTCCATTTTAACTGGAGATGCTGGGGATTGAAACTGGGACTGTCTGCCTGCCAAGTAGAGGCTCTTCCACTGAGCCACAGCCCCTCTTTACAGCTCTCCAGGGTCTCAGGTGGAGGTCTTTCCCATCACCTGCTGCCTGGTCATTTTTAAGTGGAGGTGCCGGGGATTGAACCTGGGACCTTCTGCATGCCAAGCAGAGGCTCTGCCACTGAGCCACAGCCCCTCTTTGCAGCTCTCCAGGTCTCAGGCAGAGGTCTTTCCCATCACCTCCTGCTTGGTCCTTTTTAACTGGAGATGCTGCAGACTGAACTTGGGACCTTCTGCATACCAAGCAGAGGCTCTGCCACTGAGCCACAGCCCCTCTTTACAGCTCTTCAGGGTCTCAGGCGGAGGTCTTTCGCATCACCCCCTGCCTGGTCCTTTTAAACTGGAGATGCTGCAGACTGAACCTGGGACCTTCGGCATTGTCGAGCAGAGGCTCTTCCATTGAGCCGTGGCCCCCTCTCCAGAGCACATGAAGCTGCTTTCGACTGAATCAGACCCTTCGTCCATCCATCAGTCTTGTCTACTCAGACTGGCAGTGGCTCTCCGGGGTCTCAGGCTGATTTCTTTCCCCATCACCTACTCCCTGGTCCTTTTTAACTGGAGATGCCACCGGGGATTGAACCTGGGACTTTCTTCATGCCAAGCAGACATTCTACCCCTAAGCCATGGCCCCAAACGGAGCCAGTTTGGTGTAGTGGTTAGGAGCGTGGACTCCAATCTGGGAGAACCGGGTTTGATTCCCCACTCCTCCACTTGCACCTGCTGGTGTGGCCTTGGGTCAGTCACAAGTTCTCTCAGAGTTGTTCACTCAAGGGCAGTCCTCGAAAGAGCTCTCTCAGCCCCACCTACCTCACAGGGTGTCTGTTGTGGGGAGGGGAAAAGGAGATGGTAAGCAGCTCTGAGACTCCTTCGGGTAGTGAAATGCGGGGCAGAAATCCAATCTCTTCTCTCTCTCTCTCTTCTCCCCAGTACTTGAAAGGTATGCCAAAAAATGGGGTTATTTTTTGGGGAGCAGGCTCAGCCACTAGCTTCACACCATAAGACTTCACAGCTAATTTCTCAACCTGCTCAGTGTCTGCAATACTGATTGAATCGAGAAAGATTATGTTCCGACACCTCTCCCCCACTGCTCTACAAACAAGACTAATATAGAGGTAGCGCAAACCCAAAATGTCCATTTGTCAGGATGGCATTATCAATCCACGGTGGTCCCTGTTGGAACCCCTGGCCACCTAGAGGAGATCTTTTGGCCAAACTACCATTGCACACTACATCTTTGCCACACTAAGATGGGGAATACAAGTGATTGGAGAGCCAGTGGGGTGTACTGGTTGGGAGCGTCAGCCTAGTATCTGGGAGACCTGGGTTCGAATCCCCACTCATGCCATCGAAGCTCCCTGGGTGATCTTGGGCCAGTCACAGTCTTTCAGCCTGACCTACCACACAGGATTGTTGTGAGGATAAAATGGGGGAGAGGAGAATGATGTAAGCCGCTCTGGGTCCCCACTGGGGAGAAAGGCGGGATGGATAGATTGACAGATGATAGATAGATAGACAGATGATAGATAGATAGATAGATAGATAGATAGATAGATAGATAGATAGATGAGGTAATGGTAAAGGTTTCCCTCGCTCCAAAGCCAGTCGAATCCGACTATAGGGGGCGGTGCTCATCTCAGTTTCGAAGCCAAAAAGCCAGCGCTGTCCTATATTATCACTATACAACAGAAGATATACACAGTGCATCTGAAGCAACAGTAAGCAGCTTCCGGTTCCTAGTTTTTAGCCCCACCAGGAAAAATGCAAGCCACAAAACCCTGGTTACGGGCAGTGTTCCTTCTAAGCTGAGTTAGTGTGAGCTAGCTCACAGATTTTTAGCCTCCGGCTCACACCTTTTTTTCTTAGCTCTGGAAGGGAGGGCTCCGGAGCAAACTGATTGATGCAGAAGCCAAATCACCTGCTCACAACTTGAATGCCGGTAGCTCAGAAAGTAGAATTTCTGCTCAGAGGACTCCATAGCTTAGAGGGAGTATTGGTTACGGGGGTGCTCTGCTCTAAGCACTGCAACAAGACTCCATCAGCAAAACCACCAGGTTTCACAGAGGCCCGGAAAATGTCTAGCCTCCTTTGTAGTGTTTTCTGCGTGGCAAGCCTGGGATTCACTACTCCTGGCTGGAGATTAGGAACCCAAGTGTGTGAGCGCTAATTGCAATGAGCTGGTAAACATCTGCCAGGTGTTACTGACCTCATCATGTCACAGGGAGCATAACATTCCTGATGTCTGTTCTCATAATGAGGTGACTGGTATATACAGGGGAGGAGGGAAAGGGGGGAAGAAGTTTTTCTTAATAAACACACTGGGAAGCCGACACAGCTTCACACAGCTTCTGCAGATTTTGTGTCGTGTCGTTCTTTGGAACCCCCATCAACCTTCACTCCTTGCCAAGTTCCATGCACTGGTGAGCTGAAGGAAGGGATCGTGTCCACTGTTCCCTCTAAGCTGAGTTAGTGTGAGCTAGCTCACAGTTTTTTAGCTTCCAGCTCACATATTTTTGTCTTGGCTCAGGAAGGAGGGCTCCAGAGCAAACTGATTTATGCAGTAGCCCAATCGCTCGCTCACAACTTTAATGCCAGGAGCTCACAAAGTAGAATTTTTGCTCACAAGACTGCGCGGCTTAGAGGGAACATTGATTCGTGTCCCCCAGCAGCGGAGAAATAAGTTGCTACCATTACTCAAGCTGGAGGCACGTCAATTTTTATAGAATTGTAACTTTTTTGGACTGTGCCTCATTCATCACCTATTAAGGATGTGCAGTGATTGACAACTGATGCAAACAAGCCACCGGAAAACTTAGAATGCCCGAAGGGTGCCATTTGGTTCGTTCTGGGATTTTAAAAGATCAGGCACACAAACGCACACTTGGCACCACGATGTCCTAAACTGCATGCAATAAACGAAGCATCCTTTAGTGTCTCACCCTAGTCTTTGTAGGGACCGGGATACGCAAATTCAGGCTCACCCATTTTCCCCACCCCACCCCTTTTAAATACCGCTTGCTTCTCTTTCTTCGAATTAATCGTCCCCAAAGGCTCAAGCAGAGAGACAGCCCAAACCAGGACACACAACAGAACACATCACTTACTTGATCTGTTCCCACGTTTTGCCGGCCAAATGGAGGACCCAAAGGTCCTTGTAGTGGTAAAACTGCTCCCCGTCCGGTGAAGCAAACTCACCACCAAACACCCAGAGTTGCCCGCCACCCTGAGCAACCACCACGGCCTGCCAGAGAAAAAGAGACAGTTCAATTTACCATATGCATCACTTTCAGCATGCAAAGCTTATCATAGTCTACGTCCGTTCCCCCATTTCGACAACCCTGGATTGCTTTTATTCCCATTTTATAGACAGGAAGACCAAGGCTGAAAGGGAGGAAGATGTGTACAGGAGTTGACAAGAAGATCACGGATCCAAACCAAACACACATAGGTGTTTGGAAGCAAAAAGGAAAAGAAAGGGGGGGGGGGAGAAAGCGTGTGTTGATTTGCTCCAGAGGTCAGTGTGTCTGGCTGAAAACAAATGAAAAACATTAAAGGAATAATAGGACAACGTTTGAGTCCGGTGGCACCTTTAAGGCCAACAAAGTTTCATTCTGTGTGCATGCATGCTTTCGTGTGCATGCATGTGCGTGTACATGAAAGTTTATACACAGAACTAAACTTTGTCGTTCTTAAAGATGCCACTGAACTCCCACTTTATTCTGCTGCTTCACAGGCCAACACGACTCCCCACCTGAATTAAAGGAGGAAGTCAATTGTCATTCCGGAGGATGCTTTGCATTTGGAAAAACTGGCAGAGCGCCATCTTCTGGGCATTGCCATTTACAACAGGCAGTAGGTTACAGAGGAAACACTTCCCTCTGCTTCTACCCTTGCAAGCAAAGGTGTCTTATAAGAAGAAGAAGAGGAAATTGGATTTATAACCCGTCCTTCACTACCCAAAGGTGTCTCAGAGCGGCTTACAAACTCCTTTCCCTTCCCCTCATGCCCACAACAGACACCCTGTGAGGTAGGTGGGAGTGAGAGAGCTCTGACACAAACGGCTCTTTTTCAAGAACAGCTCTTATCAGAACTACGGCTTGCCCAAGGTCATCCAGCAGGTGCAAGTGGAGGAGTGGGGAATCAAACCCGGTTCTCCCAGATTAGAGTCCGCACACTTCACCACTACACCAGACTGGCTCTCGCCAGGGAGGGGGAGATGAAAGGATCTCAGGGCAGAGTCAGGGGTCTTTAGAGGTTTTACCTGATGAGCGCAGCGCCGGGGAGGCGGATTCGGGATGTCGGTTTTAGCCCAGCTGTTCTTCCGAATGTTGTAAATAAAGAGCTCGTTGTAGAGGAAGGTCTGTCGGGAGACATCAAGGCAGGCGGCCATTAAGAGAAAGTTCCCCACGCGGGACACATTTAATTTATTCTCTTATTTTATAGCCCACCCCACTTTCAAAGCTTTACACACACGCACGCACGTGCGCTGGGCGTGTTTCTACAGCCTGCCAAACTATCTGGGCACCAACACCGATGCCTTCGAACGCTGCAAAGGGCCCACTGCGTTGCCAATACCAAACAGAAGTTCATTACCACAGTGAGATTAGCTAATTACAGAGGTTTAAAATTTTAAAAATTATAAAAAATAAAAACCAAGGCCCAACCCTTTTCAAAACTGAACAGATGCATGGTGGCAGCCCTTGGACAGAAGCTTCCAAGGAAGGAACAGCCAAATATGTCCCTATGGGCCACGCCAGGGTTTCTGAGCATCTGGTAGCCCCTCTTTGAGGAACTCTAAGAGCCAGTGTGTTGTAGTGGTTAGAGTGTTGGGCTACGATCAGGGAGAACTGAGTTCGAATCCCTACTTGCTATGAAAATGACTGGGTGATTCTGGGGGGGGGGGCAAGAGTGGGAAGGCTTCTGGTGTCCTGGCCCCACTGCTGGACCTCCTGATGGACCCCGGTATTTTTGGCCACTGTGTGACAGAGTGCTGGACTGGATGGGCCACTGGCCTGATCCAACATTGGCTTCTCTTATGTTCTTATGTTCTTAAATGGCTGATGACGGTTTCTGGGGTTGAGCTATATTCTTTATCGGGGTCAGCTTTTCCCGTTAATAATTCCATGTAAAATCCCCAGGAAACGGAAGTCAAAGTCATGCTTGTTAGGGGAAGTGAACAGGGGTTAGGAGACAGAAGAATAAATGAAAAAGATATACTTTACTTTTTGGCCATTGAAATATTCACCTCCAAACAGAATTAGCTCATCTTTCTCGGGGTGGGCAGACAAGGATGCGTTGAGCCTGAGGCAGAAAGGGGGAAAAGGGAGCAGGAATCAGTGGAAGGGTGGGGAGGACATGTGCTACGAACACTATTGGAATGGGGTGGGGGGTGGGGAGAGAGGCTATGGCATTGTGCTATACAGAGCATCTGCTTGGCACACAGGTCTCAGGTTCAATCCCCAGCACCCCAGGTCAACAAGAAGCAGGCTTCAGGAAGGATCTTTCTCGGCTTGAGATCCAAAATTTGGGGGGGATAATCAATAAAAACGGCAGGATGCCTCTTACCTGGGCGAAGGTGGTGGGCAGCCGGTCTCCACCACCTGCGTCTTTTTAGCATCCAGGGTCTGGAACTCAGCAATGAGGGCTTCGAGATCTTCCTGCAAATGAAAGCCCAACTGGTTAGATTTTTCTCTGTGCACCACCAAGGGTCTGTGTTGCCCCAAGTGACACATTTGCCCCATGGAAGGCTCAAAAAGCCCCTTGTACGGCCCCCTTGCAGAAGGTGAGCAGATCCAATTCTGGGCGACTGAGGGGAGGACAGAGGGAAACTCTACACCCTGACTTCCGCAACAGACGGCAGGCTATAAATGCAGCAAAATACAAAATTCAATCTAGAGAAGAATGTTTTCCCCCCCCCCCAAGGTCAGGTTGTGGATTCAGGGAAGTGGCCCCTCCTTTCCTGTACATGCTTTGGAGATTCATTCTCTTCCTTCTAGGAGGCATCACCAACAGCCAGTACTGCAGAGCAGTTAAGAACGTCCGACTAGGAGCCAAGAGACTTAGGTTCAAACAGGGCCGGATTTAGACTTGCTGAGGCCCTAAGCTATACAAAACCCAGAGGCCCCGTACTGTTTTAAATTACATCAGCCGGTCTCAGAAAAATTTAAAATATATACGCCTTTTTAATATTTGAAATCATTTTTATATTGTGTTTTTATTTGAGGCCCCAGCAGATTGTGAGGCCCTAAGCTGTAGCTTATTTAGCTTAGTAAATCCAGCACTGGGTTCAAATCCCACCCCCCCAAAACAAAAACAGCATCACTGGGTGCTCCTGACCCAGTGACTCCTCCTCAGCCTCACCTACCTTGCAAGGTCGCTGTGAGGATACGGCAAAGGAGGCGGGAGCCAGGGATGCTGCTCTGAGTTCACCAGAGGACCAAAAAAACCCCCCCTCCCCCTTCACCCCCCTCCAGCCTCCTGCACACCTTTAGTATTTATTTGGTACATTTTTATCTTCAGAGAGCATCGTGTGGCACGCATCACCCCCTACGTCCATTTTAGCTTGGCACCAACCCTGCAAGGCGGGCCAGTCTGACTGAGCAGCCTGGCCAGAGGCCACCCCATGAGCACTGTGACCGCGGCAGGATCTGAACCCAGATCTCTTCCATCTTCGTCTGACACGCCAACCTATGCTTGTCCCACCTGGAGATCTCCCGGAATGACAGCGAATCTCCAGCCTACACCGATCCGCTCCTCCGGAGAAAACGGCTGCTTTGGAGGATTGGACCCCCAAGCAACTCCAGGAATCTCCAGCAATGTTCCCACTAAGCTGTGGAGTCTTGTGAGCAAAAATTCTGCTTTGTGAGCTACCGGCATTAAAGTTGTGAGTGAGCGATTTGGCTGCTGCATAGATCAGTTTGCTCTTGAGTCATCCTTCCTGAGCTAAGACCAAAATCCGTGAGCCGGAGGCTAAAAAAAATGTGAGCTAGCTCACACTAACTCAGCTTAGAGGGAACATTGATCTCCAGGCGTTTCCCGACCCGGAGCTGGCAGCCTTTCTCGAACTCCCCCAGGCGCAGCAATGCAGCGGGGCGGCCGCGTCCCCACCGGGAGGGCTGCAGCAGCAGCACCTGACGGATGCCCGCCTTGCCCGGCTCACCTCCTCCTTCCGGGCCCTCTTGGAGACCTTCTTCTCCATCTTGGCCGCCGTCTTCTCGGCCCCCTTCGCCTTCTTCTCCCTCTTGCTCTTCTTCCCCATCCTCCCGGCCGAACTCACGTGGCGGCGCCCGCCTGCCTGCCTGCCTGCCTCGCCCCGGCCCGGCCCCCGACCCAGGCCGCTTCCTGCCCGGCAGCGCCGCCTGCCTCCTCTCCTCGCCCTCTGCTGGCGCGGAGGCCTCCGTCCAAAGCCCGGCCGGGAAGGGAAAGAAGCGCTTCTGGGGCTGCGGGGCGAAGGCTGAGTCTGCGCTGGCTGCTTTCTTTCAGAAAGTCCGCGTCGGAACAGAGAATCCCCCCTGCATTGCCTGCTGCTCTCACTGCCTTGGGCCGTCGGGTTCTATGGTAGCCTCCACGCTCCGTTAATGGCAGAAAGGAAGGAAGGAAGGAAGGAAGGAAGGAAGGAAGGAAGGAAGGAAGGAAGGAAGGCAGGGTGAAAGAGGAGAGCGCAAAAGTGGGCTTGAAGCTCAACATCAAAAAAACTAAGATCATGGCATCCGGCC